TTAAAGTCCAGCCACTTTTTTATTTTTTTTTTTGTGAAAATAGACAAATCTATTCTCGTGACATTAATTTGAACAAGAATGAATTCACATAAATTGGGAAATTTGCTATGCAGACCAATTAAGGTACGTTGACAAGAACTATCTCCCCTATGCTTTTCTCTTTTATATAAATAAATATCGCTTTTTCCCCCTCTCTTCCCACCTTAATCCCCTTCATGTATATAATGCCCAAATTTTCAATTATTGTGATGGTAGGCAAAGTTAGGCCCATTCTCCACAAGCTATTGAGCTGCTTTTACGGAGAGGAGTGTGAATGAGAAACGTTTGATTGAAAACTGAAATAATCCTCCTTCTCAAATTTAATTAATGTGGCAGACTTGGCTGCTAAAGGTACAGACACTGTAGTGAGCGGGATCCACTTATGTTTCTGGTTGTTCACAACCCCATACTACTTTACTTTCAAAAGAGTAATTGCTCCTACGACTGCCACCCTTATATTTGACTTCATTTTCATTTTAGACATCTAATTTTTAGCTCCGACTTATTGTGATGACTTGACATTGTTAGCGATTGGGTAACTGAGTAATGAAATAGTAAAACGAAGACACTTAAGAAAAACTCATAGGAGAAATGGGTGAGGGTACAAGGACAAGAACGAGAATTTTGTGTCTTGTGTGTCAGATGAGTCGTCACCGAAGACTCGACTAACAACATGACTATTTAAAAATTTGAGAATCAAAGTGCCTAATAAAGGAAAAGAGAAGACATTGACAAACTATAAAAGTATGGCTATTTGAAAGAAAAAAAGAAGAAAAGGAAGACAAATAAAAGAATGGTCGGTTTTTATTTACAAAACTTCATATTCTCTTACAGAGACATTTCTGAAAACGCTCAACATCGAGCTAAAAACACACAACTTGTCATGTCAGTGTTATAAGGTTCAATAGATATGTATTTGATAACTTTAGGTGCTTATTAATAGGCCGGAGCTAAAGATAAAGTATAAAAATTAAAAATGAGGTCAAGTTTAAAAATTCGTCGAATGTATTTACACTTGTTCAGTAACAAAAAGAAGCATAACGTAAAATCTAAAATGTCAACTCAAAATCCGTTATATCTTTTCTTTTATTGAACTCATGTCTTGTCTCGTTATTTGTTCTCTCCTATTTTATGATACTATCAATACATTTTATTCAATTGTGATACTTTCAAATTTGTATAAGGTATTACAAGTAAATTCTTATGGTAATTATTAACCGGTAACTTGGCAAAAATTGTAATAATCCGTTATATATATATATATATATATATATATATATATATATATATATATATGTAGTAAAATGACAGCGGGAAAATTAGAATAACACTGGAATAATATTCTTTGTAAGTAGATACACGAATTAGCTTTAGTCTTGTTAGGTACTGTCCTAAGAAATTATTTCAGCAGTGTGAAATGTTTCCCCAGGATTAAACAAGCTTAACTCTATTTTATTTAGAGGATACAGGAATCAGCAAAATATTTACATTACAATAATAACAAGATTGAAAAGAGAATAAGGACAAAGAAAATTTATAAGTAAAATTGGATATAAGAGAAGCTAGGCAAGAAAGAGAAGAAAGCTAAGTAGAAAGAGCTTTTTGTTTCTGATGATGGAGAATTGTGTAACCAATGGTGGCTATTTATAGTTGTAATTGCATGGAACTTTATTGTGCATGGAAAGAAAGTGGTTGATGGAATTTGCCACTTTTTACACTTCTTTTGCCACTTAACATAGCCTTCTAGAAGGGCTAAGACATTTGTCCAAAGGACTTTAAAATATTGCCACAGTCCCCCGCTATTTTAAAGACCTTCAAAAATAAACTTGTTGGATTTGTATGGTCCAAATGCAATAGGTTTGGTGTCTTTTGGACTATGAACCGAACTTAGATTGATAAAATTTAGCTTACAGAATTACTGGTGAAATATAATAATAATACTATGAACCAATAATTCTTATTGTAAGTCAGAGATTTTTTTCAATCACATTTCGACCCTGACAATTTTGTTGTTCAACGCGGTTTTGCGCCACTAGGCCACGCGCGTGCCTGGTAATTCATGAGACTATAGAGACTAGGCCAAAATCTCATAGGAGCGGCCTTACTCCACTCTCATATAGGTGAATTCATCAAGTGGGTACTGCTCTTAAATACATCATCCATAAGCAATATGAATTCATTAAGAGTTATAACTCAGCCTCTCAATCTGTAGCAGTCAAGCACTCTCTTTTAGTGCTTCAGTGTCAATATTGACTTGTTATTACCCACATGAACCTACTTCATGGGATCTCCAATCACATAGGTTGGGTTACCATCTCTATTGACAAGAAATTGGCCTTAACCTCATCTCTTTTGAGGTTTGAAAAATTAATTTTCTTCCCACGGGTTTAGTCAGAGGATTGGCCAAATTTATCTTTGACTTCACATAGTCAATCGAAATTATTTCATCTCTCAACAGCTGTTTTATGACATCATGTCTCAGTTTCATGTGTCTACTTTTACAATTATTAGATTTATTCTTTGATATAGTTATTGCTGCCTGGCAATCATAGTGTATAGACACATGAGGCAGTACGTCCTTTATTAAAGGGATATTATCTAAGAAGTTTCTTAGCCACTCAGCCTTAGAACCGGCTAACTCCAGAGCTACAAACTCTGATTCCATAGTCGATCTAGCAATGATCGTCTGTTTAGCTGATTTTTACGATATTGCACCACCACCAAGGGTGAATATATAACCACTAGTGGATTTTGTCTCATCCGAATCAGAGATCCAGTTTGCATCACTGTACCCTTCTAAAGTAGAAGGAAATCCACTATATAGGATACCATAATTCATGGTTCCTCTCAAATATTTCATTAGTCTAGTTAATATAGATCAATGCTCTCTATTGGGATTATGAGTATATCTACTCAATCTACACACAACATAGGTTATATCAGGCCTTGTAAAATTCATTAAATGCATCAGACTCCCAATAATCTGAGCATATTTAGACTGAGCAACTGGGTCACCATTATTCTTTTACAACTGAGAGTTAGCACCAAAAGGAGTGCTACAGATGTGACATTAAAATATTCAAACTTCTTAAGAAGTCTCTCAACATAATGTTCTTGTGACAACATTATTCCATCTTCACTCCTTATAACTTTAACTTCTCATATTGTATTTACTTCACCCAGATCTTTCATATCAAAATTAGTAGACAAAAATAATTTAGTATTTTGCACAATATTTAAATTTGTACCAAATATAAGCATGTCATCAATATACAGACATATTATCACATAATCATTGTCTACCACTTTAGTATAAACACATTTATCCACCTCAACTAAAGAAAAACCGCCTCTCAGTAAAACTTGTTCAAATTTCTCATACCACTGCTTAGGAGCTTGTTTGAGGCCATAAAGAGATATGATTAATTTACAAACTTTGTTTTCTTGTCCAGGAATGACACAGCCTTCAGGTTGAACCATATAAATTTCTTCTTCTAAATTTCCATTTAAAAAAGCAGTTTTGACATCCAAGAAATTCTAGTTACTAGTGCAAATGTATCAAAATAATCTATATTTTGTTTTTGAGAAAATTTTTTTGCTACTAACCGAGATTTATATTTATCTAAAGATCCATCAGGATTAAATTTCTTTTTGAAAATTCATTTACAACCAATAGGTTTTGCACCAGGAGATAAATCAGTTAAAATCCATGTATTATTTTTCAAAATAGAATCGATTTCAACTTTTATTACCTCTTTCCAATAATTAGCTTCTGAAGAAGATATAGCTTCAAAATAATTTGTTGGTTCATTATTGACAAGAAAAGTTTGAAAATCATTTCCATAAGAAAAATATTATTTCCTAGGCCTTTTTCTCCTTCTCGGTTCCACATTAGAGGTAATTTCACTATTTGTTTCAACAGGTGTATGAGAAATTTTATGAGACAATGGATAAATATATTCAAAGAACTCAGCATTCTTTGTCTCAATTATAGTATTGCAATCAAACACATCACTTTTTAAAACGAGAAATCTATATGCACCACTATGTTCAGCATACCAACAAGCATGCAATCAGCAATTTTAGAACCTATTTTTCTCTTTTTAGGTTAAAGCAAAAGAACTTTAGCAAGGCACCCCCACACTTTTAAATATTTCAAATTAGGCTTATAACCCCTCCACAATTCATATGGAGTTTTGCCAGTTCTTCTATGTGGTCTTCTATTTTGTAAGTGACATGCAGATAAAATAACTTCACCCCACAAATTATCAGGAGCATTAGAGCTAACTAACATAGAGTTCATCATCTCTTTCAATGTTCTATTTTTTCTTTCAGCTACTCCATTTGACTCAGGTGAATAAGGCGGAGTTACTTCATGAATTATTCCATTCTTTTCACAAAATTCATTTAAAGATATTCTCCACCTCTATTAGATCTAGTTCTCTTGATTTTTTTACTAAATTGATTTTCAACCTCAGTTTTATAAGAAATAAAAGCATTAATGGATCATCTTTATTTCTAATCAAATAGTACAACTTAGTATATCTGGAAAAATCATCAATAAATGTCACATAATACATTTTACCACCTCTAGTCATGGTTTGTTTTAAATTGCCTAAATCAGTTTGAACCAAAGATAATAATTCAGTTTCTCTATTTACAAAAAAACAAGTCTTTCTGGTACTTTTAGCTTCAGCACATATTTCACACTTGTCTATATTGTTTGAGTCTAAACTAGATATTAAGCCTAGTGACTGCATTTTCTTTATATACGCGATATTAACATGTCCTAGTCTAGCATGCCATAAAGAAATAGACTCAACCATATAAGCAGAAGCAGATGTATTTCCATTGATAACATCAGAAATATTAAGTACAAGTCCTTGGTTACAACAGCCTTATCCTACAAACACATTAGTTTTGGTCATTATGATCGTATCAGATTCAAATGACACTTTCACTTAGGCTCTTCCCAATAAGAATACAGAGGTCAAGTTTGCCCTCATAGTAGGAACATGCAGTACATCAACAAGGGCTAAAGTTTTTTCCGAAGTGAGTTTTAGGAGAACTTTACCCTTACCCAAGACTTTGGTAGTACTTGAGTCTCCAAGGTAGACCTCTTCTCTATCATCCTCTACAGGAGTATAAGAAGAAAATGCTTCTCGATTTGCACAAATGTGCCGAGTAGCCTCAGAGTCTACCACCCATTCTTTTGCATGTGCTACAATGTTTATTTGAGAAATGACAGGTGCAATAATATCACCTCCTTCAGCTAAGTTAGCCTTAGGAGTATTAGTTTTTCTTTTGTCATTTTCTGCTCTGTGCCTGCACTGTGAGGCATGATGGTCTGGTATTCCACAAACAAAACAAGAGCCTTTTTTTCTTTTAAGGTTAGGATTTTTAGGCTTGTAACCTTGACACTTATTCTCGTACTTTTTGCGGTTGTTGTTGTTGCTTTGCACTAAGTTTGCTTTAAGAGCTGTCATCCTAGCTTTGGCAGATATTTTTCTGTTGGAATCTACAATTAGGATGTGAGTAACAATTTCCTCAATGGTGAAATTTTTCTGTTTGTGCTTTAAGTTGTTTTTGTAGTCACTCCATGAGTCATGCAGCTTCTCAATTAGCACTCCAGCAGCAAACTTTTCTGGTAAAGACATCCCCTCGGCCTTCAAGTCTTCTAGCAATTTTTGATATTCGTTGATTTGCACATTCATCTCTTTATCATCTTTCATCTACCACTGATAAAAATTTTCTACTACAAATTTTTGTTTTGTAGCATCTTCAGTAATGAATTTTTTAATTAAAGTCTCAAATAGTTGTTGCTTCTTTATAACTGCAATACACGTCAAACAGTTCATTAGAAATATTTTCCAATATAATATGACGACATACCTTGTTGGCATGATTCTACTATTTTATTGGCAGCGTCAGCGCTAGGTTGTAGATGCAGCAGTGCATGCGTAACACTATGAACTTCAAGCAGTGCCAACGCTTAAAATTTTCATTGGCGAATATTTCAATATTTGAGACATCTGAAAATGGCCTGGCATATAGCAGTGCAACTGGGCTGGAGCAGCGAACGTAACACCAATATTGGCGATATCAATAGTATTTTCAGCATCAGTATTATTTGCAATAGTTTCTTAGATTGTAGTAAAATGACAACGGAAAAATTACAATACAAAGGCCATCTTGAAGACATATCTGACAAACATATAGAGTGCACTTAAGATAAAAAGATAAATTCATAAATCATAATAGTAGTGAAGTCCCAAAATCTGAAGTACAATATAGCTATGATATAGCGTGGATAACAAAAGAAGGTGATGTTTAATGTAATACATCAATTTGGCTGCTATTTCTCCTCTCGGTTCATGACTTACAATATTGGAGGAAGGCCAGAATGATTTGGACAACAAAAATATTGCACCAAGCTAAACATCAGCCAGTCCAGTCATACGGTGACCACGATGGCTTCCTCTCTCTAAGGTATTCAGCTGGCATGGTGTCACTAACGTTGCTAGCTGCTGATGGCCTGCTGCTGATGGCCTGCCAATTTCTCTTCGGACTACACTATTAGCCAGGAGAAGCAGCCATATTTTCACTTGCAATAGTACCCAAAACTCTGGAATGTCTGCTTTAATCACCTAATCCGGCCCTCGACTTCAAATGTAGCTTGAAGTCCATAATGTCACCCTCCCACCGTGTTACAGTTTGATTTTCACATACCCATATCTCGTGGGCAACCTGGTTTATGAGCCTGAAATCATGACTAACAAGAACCATGCCACCATCCCATTCATTCAAAGCCTCGGCAAGTGAGTCAATAGTTTCAATATCAAGATGGTTGGTCGGCTCATCCAACAGCAGCATGTGAGGTTGCCTAAACGCTAACCACCCGAATATCACCCTGCTTCGTTGACCGTCTGACAAGTTCTTCATAGGCATAACTTGAGCTTTACCAGTAAGACCAAACCTCCCAATTGCTGCTCTCATCTTCTCCTCCTCATTTCCAGGATACTCTTTTATCATATATTGGAGAGCAGACATTTCCATGTCAAGCTTCTCAGCCAAATGCTGGTGGAACTGTGCAATCCGCAGGTGATTATGCCGCCTAACCATGCCATCAAGGGGAACTAAATCCCCTGTCATCAGCTTAAGCAGCGTGCTCTTTCCAGCTCCGTTAGGTCCCACCAGTGCTACCCTTGAATCAAGGTCTACGCCAAAATCAAGGCTCTTGTAAATGAGATTATCAGGTGTGTAGCCAAATGTCACTTCCACAAACTGCAGAACAGGAGGGGGAAGTTTGCCAACATCAGGAAACCGGAAGACCAGGACCTTGTCCTTCACCACCTTCTCTGTAAGCCCTCCACGCTCCATCTTAGCCAGTGTTTTCTCTTTGCTTTGTGCTTGACGGGCTAGTTTGGCTGATCCGTGTCCAAAACGAGCAATGTATTCCTTCATTGAAGCAATCTGCTCCTGCTCCCATCTGTACTGTTTCATCTGATTCTCTTCCAGCTCCTCACGGGTTTGGACATATTGATCATAATTACCCGTATAGAGCTTCAACTTCTTATTTTGCATATGGATGATGTTAGTACACACACCATTTAGAAAATCTTGTGAGTGTGAAACAACAACCAGAATGCGATCAAACTTCTTCAGCGTTTCTTCTAACCACACGCAAGCCTCTAGATCTGCATTCAGGAGAAAAAGACCATAAGCATATGAAATCTAAAAATCGGTGAATAAAGAATCTAGCACACCTTCATTGGATCCACGTGAAAAAACGACAAGATACTATAGCATCCCTGTATTACCTTTTAGTTAAAAGGGAGCTTCATGTAACTACTTAGCAGAGGGAAACAAAAAGACACCAGGAAAAATGCTGTAACAAGAGTGCGAAATAACACATTTAAGGTCCCATATTAAAATCTGCAATATCAGTTTTCATTGTATGTATTCTTCCTGAAAGAAAATTAACCATGTCCAGATACTCAAACCAATCATGTCATAACACAACATCTGATATATTATAAAAATGCACCAAAAGATTACCAAGATGGTTGGTGGGTTCATCAAGCAACAAAATGGTCGGATTCATAAACAGGGCCCGAGCAAGAGCAATCCTCATCCTCCATCCACCAGAAAAATCTCGTGTTTTCTTTTCTTGCATTTGCTTGGTAAATCCAAGACCAAACAAGATCTCAGCTGCACGCTTCTCAGCAGTTGATGCATCCAAAGCTTCTAAACGCTCGTAGATTCGTTCAAGTTGCTCTCCGCCACCATCATCCTAAAGATAGACACAACACAAATCATCACATTTGCCCCAAAAAAAAGATCAAGCCGATGGAACAGAATGTGATTTATTACTCATGGCACAATACCTGTGCAGCCAGGACTTCAACTTCTTTCTCCAATCTCAACCTCTCTTCATCGCAACTAATAACAGCTTGAAGAGAGGACATGTCAGAGGCTTCAATCTCACGTGTTAGATGAAAGATATCCATATGATCTGGGATGGGAAGTTCACGACATCCTATAGCAGCAAGAAGAGTAGACTTTCCACAGCCATTAAGCCCAAGCAAACCGTAACGTCTGTGAAATTAAGATCATAGAATTTGACCATCAGCTACCAGCTATATATACTAAGAAAACAGCCATACAAGGAGATGATAAACTGTACCTTCCATAGTTGAGCTCCAGTTCAGAATCAACTATTAGATCATGCCCATGGAAAGTAAGTGATAAAGATTCTATCTGCAAACAAAGAGTACCAGAATTGGTAAAAAATTTAGGTCATTGCATTAAAGAGAGAACTCCATGTAGGTAATAATCTTTTTTGTTAGTCATAGTTAGTCCAAAAGCATGAATATCTATGCTTCTTGTAATGAGTAATGACAGCTATATGCAACTTCACCAATCAAGACCATTCTAAGTAAATATGGGATAGCTTCAGTTATTGACTGATTGATGTACCAAGAGTTGGAATATCACACTCTGCAATAACACCCAAGTAAAGTGACTGTTCAAATGCAAAGGGAATCAAGGAAACAAAAAAACTCATCAAGAAAATTCAAGGAAATAAACAATCAAAGCCTCATAAACGTCACAAGCTTGCAGTGACAAACAATGACAGGATACAAACCCACGAAATAAAAATTAAAACAAAATTGTCCCTGTCACAAGACATCATAAGGTCTATGCATGGGCAAGTTGTCAGGATTAAAAAAAAATTGGATACAAACTCCATACACCCAAAACCAGAGAGCATCATCGAGCAAATATACTGTTCTCCACTTCATATTAATTTCTCATTTTTGGAACAAAGAAACAACAATCACTAAACTTTCAGTCATCTCTTGCAGAGTAGAACCAAGAGTTTCATCCATTAAGCATTAAAAGAATGTATTGCAAAGACATCAAGACCAGGCATTGGTGTGTCCATAATTCAGTTTTGTTTTTTAAGATTTTTGGGTATTTTGGCATAGCACTTCCTTTTTTTCCAAAAACTCATTTTAGATTTATTGCTCAAATATTAAAGATAATTTCTGATTAGCGCTAATATGAAAATTTTCTCAAATTTAAGTGTTAATTTGAAGCAATCAATTGGGAGTCGGGAAAAGCAGAAGCAACAGAAACCAAACTGAAATCAGAAAGAAAGGAGCAAGAGCACACCCTACATTTACAGGCAAAATCAAAGTCATTGTTTTTAATTTATAGTCAAGTAACATTTATCCAAAACAACACATTTCCTCTTTTAACTCCCTCCTGCAACAATTTTAACGTCCTCTTACGGGTCTCTCAACCAGCGACAAGCTATAGCGCTTTACAGTCATATACTCTGTCCTCTGTCACTAAAGAATATAGAACTGGCAAGTGATATGTTAATTGTTAAGCAACCATTATGTACGGTATTGATCAAGAAAAAACTAGAAATCCTTTACAACAAAACTAGTAACTAAATCAAAAAAAAAAAAAATTAAACCTACTTCCTCCATCCAAAACAAGAACCAATCCATCTATTTTTGTGAGTGAATTTTTACATCCATTTTTATTCTTTTCAAATAATTTCAAGATACTGAAACCATATATAAGTACGACAAATTAAAGTTATTTATAGTTCAAATGAATTTTTTTTAAACCTCGCAGTGAAAGAAAAAACAGTTTGACTCACCAAATAAGATAGTCGTAGGACCAAAATATATGGATAGAGAGAAAGATAGCATCTTATTTTCAAAAATTGATTGAAATGTTTCTATTTCATGTATTTCCAGTTCCCCAACTTTTATTATTTTGGATTACTTTATAAGTGTGTGTTATAGTTATATTTTCTGCCAATATGAGCTTTTCTCGTATGACAGCACTGCCGCCACTACAAACAAAAAGTAAAATAATACAACATAACTAATTAATTAATGAAACTAAGATTTTCCGGTTCTTACAGAGCAAAAGATCAAAGAGAAAACTCAAAAGTACGATTACGAATTCAGGACCTCAATTCCAGTTAAAAAAAAAAGAAGAAACAAATAGATCAAAAGAAACTAACCCGAATATCTCTGGAAAGTGGATGTGAACACAGAACACCGGTACAAGTCCGATCAGATAACTGAATTTCCCCTACACCATTCGTTAAATCATCGACACTGTTGCTCTCCGCTGGAGAAGCTGTGGCAGCCGCCGCCGCTTTCATCGCCGCCGCCTTAGACTTGCCACTTCTCTTGGCAGCTGCGGCTGCTTTCTTCTGCGCCTCTCTCTTCTTACTCGCATCCGACACCATCTATCCATTTTCAAAAAAAAAAAAAACACTCCAATCAGAAAACAAAAAAGAAAAAACACACATATAATACAGGAAAAAAAAATACAATACTATGTGTTATTGAATCAGAAAAAAAATTACCTTGAAATAGGAGATGTTATTACGAAGATCTAGTGTTTTCAATAATCAGATGACAGCCTTTTTCTGTGATTATTGGTCGGAGAAAGAGGAGATTCCGATGATGAGGGTTTCTGAGGAGTTAAGAGATGGTGGAGGGATATATATAAGAAGAGTGTGGGAAGAAGACAGTACACGTGTCCTTTTTGTGTTGAGGTCCATGAGAATTTTGGAGCGGTGATACTTCGAGAGTTGCGACTTTTTTATTAATTTAAGTTGCGTAATGTGACTAGGAACTGGCTATGTGTCACACTTTAATACTTAATTTTATAAAGATGTCGGTTTTTAATTTGGCTCGTGTTATTTTCCACCTAGGACGTGGTCAGCTAAACAAATAGTCGCTTATCATCGAAAAATTAGCTCAAATGATTCAATTATTGATACTTTCTTTAATTTGGTATGAATTGATATCTAGAAAATGATTTCGCATCGCATAAAATAGAAAAAAATACTAAAATTTAACTGCATTGGCAATATAATATTGCCTTAAAAAAGCAATATAGTTTTCTCTCGGGTTCATCTTATGTGTCTTAGACTAGATATGAAATTTAAAAAGTTTAATGGTGTTATAAATAGAATTGTATTTATGGTGAATGTCTATATTTAGAGAGATTCTAGGGTTCATTGTCTGGTGGCTAAGTCACCCTCTCCCTATAAATAGAGGGTTCTATTCTATTGTAAGTCATCTCAAATCAATAAGAATTCCCTCTCCCTACTTTTCTCTACAATACTCTTCTTCTTCTTTTATTGTTAATAACACGTTATCAGAACGAGACTCTAACCAATTGAGTAGAAGCTTTGGAATTGAGCATAATGATGGTCAATTATTCCATGAACTTCCTTCATGATTAAATTCTGAATTTAAGGTAAGTATTTTACTTTATTTTTCTCTTTTAAATTCTTGAAATTCTATAATTTGATTTTATATACAAGCAAAGACAACAAAGTTTGATTATAACTCTAATGGAGCTTGTAAGAAATTATAACCACCTGAAGTGGTAAAATTTCTATGTCTTGCCATGATCAAAGTCATGTATGATCGTGAGCACAAGAAGTGAAAACCCGTCCCATTGAATTTGCTTCATTCTCATTCCCTTAAGAGAATGTGATAGCAGTATGTAATAAGTCTGAAAGAAGACAAAATTATTACTATGAATGTATCAATGGATATGGACGTGGCAATAGACGAAATTATAATCGTCATCATTTGTGGTAATGAGAACAATAAGGATTCTCAAAATAATCTTTCACTCTGTGAAAAATATTTGTCATCGATTTGACACGAGATTTTGTAAAGCACATATAGATGATTATGGTCCATTCATGATGTGAATGTGACAACATCTGATTTATGAATACATATTCATTCTTCAAAGAATACGAACGTGCTAGTGGTAGTGCATATACCGCACTCACCTCTAAAAGGAGGTTTGAGATGATATAAGAAAATAATGTCATTATTATGGCATGAATGGTCATCGGTCACATACCTATTGTACGCCAAAATATTTTGGTAATGTGATTATTAAAAGACAACAGTAATGCAAGAAACAGATCTTGCATATAATTTTGACCATAACCATAATGGTATAACTTTATCTTTAAAAGAGATATTCACCATATGGGTGTTGATGAATATGTGGTACTACAAAATTAATTGAGAACTCTGCAAGAGCCAATTATACTATTTTGGAGAAACACAATTAATTACCAATAAGGTATTGTGTTGTAGTAAGTCTCAAAGAAACTTATTCAGTTTCCAAAGTATACGCGAAAGCGGTTGATTATATTGAGACTATAAATAAAGGAGAGATTTAATATCTTCTATTACTACAACTTGTAGCGGGGTAATATATATGTGAAAAGCTAGCCGCTTTATTTCTCCAAATTGTACTACATGAACAAAAGAATACCACAATAAAATGGTTATTTATTGATATAAAAATCCATATAATAATAAACTTGGAGTTTATTCATAATTGCAAACATCATGGTGTAAACCTGAAGTTTATCAATATTGATAATTTATTCAGTTGGCATAATTGGTTTAGCCATGTTAATTCAAGTATGATGTGCAAAAATAAAAGAGAATTCACATGGGTAAATATTAAAGAACTAGAAAGTTCTTTACGAATTCTCTTACGTTGCTTGTTCTCATTAATTAATAGACCAATTAAAATTGGGATTGAATCCCATGAATGCTGGAAGTATCAAAGGTGAATATGGGCCCATTCACCTGCCATGTATACCACATAAGATGCATCTATGAGATGGTTACATGTGCAATTATTATTGACCCGCAACCAAGTGTTTGCGAGGTAACTTGCTCTATAATTTAATATAGAGCATAATTTCCAGATTTTTTATTCAAGATAGTTCTTCTTGATAAGTTGGTTTACATCATAGTTGGTTTAGCAAAATGATTTATTGAGTGCCTCCACTTAATAGCTAAACTATTGCTTATGAGAACAAAGTTATCTATATCAGTTTGATATAGGTTATATACGAAAGTATATTACATTCTCCCCTCACAAGTGGTTTCAGGGTCAGGAATCAAATAATTCTATCTCATTATTATTGATGTGCGGTGTATATTTTGATTAACACCATAACGCACAAAGATGGGTTCTCAAAGTTGAGGAAACAAGTTAGTTTTTCTAACATGAGGGGGAGACAAGATACAACAGTTGAGAAAAAGTTACATGGAATGAATCATCATTTATACATCTAGATCCCCGAATAAAATAATATGAACTTGAAGTTCATAAAAGGATAATTCATGTGCAATTTATTGCAAAGCATGCCAGACGCATTTGCTGACCCAAAGAAAGTAACTATATTCTCATTGCAAATGCTCCTATTAGAATAAGTCTTAGAAGGACAAAGTCTATAGTACGCTTAAAGCATATAGACAAATCGGTTTCAAATAAACTTCTTGATAAAGAAGATGAGCAAATGATCAAAATGATCATAATAAAGGAGGCAAGTGATCTAGAAGATCACATGACATAACACTTCATAAAATCTCAAGAGAGATTCAGGTACCTGAAAATATGAATGAAGAGATCTCTATGTTATGTCTTTATGAAAAAATATTGAAACTGATATAAAATGTTTGTCGACGACATCTATGATAGCGCTAAATATATATATATATGAGGATCTTAAGTCTGAAGAAACAATTCAAATAGAATTGATTTCATACGAAAGCCATGTAGTTTTGAACATGTAGTTCAAACACTTGAAAGAATAAGTCAATGGTATGTGCAATCAATTTTCGATATCATATATGTCTAGCATCACATGAAAACTTGATATGCATCTAAAGTCTATTATATGGCTTATATAACTTAACAATCCCTGAAGGATTTAAATTGCTTAAAGCGTATAGAATTCATGGTCATGAAGTACTACATCCTCAATGCAATTTGTGCACAAATGTATCTTGCTATAACTATATGCATGATAATATGATAGCAAGAGTTTTCACCTTTATGTGAAGATATTGAACTGACGATTCCAACAAGATCATATGGAGACAATTCATCTCTATCAAGAATGATGATTTCAAGGTGCAATATATTAATTCAAGTTAATATGGCTGATTTGTTTATCAAATATCTACCAAAGATCTTTTGAAGATGGTGCACAAGATTGGAATGCAAATGCTTATGGATGTGAAGTGATGCTCTCATGAGGGGGAGTTAATACGCGTTGTACTCTTTTTGCCTTACAAGGTTTTGTCCCACTGGGTTTTCCTTGCAAGGTTTTTAACGAGGCAACCAAAAGGCGTATTATTAGATATGTGTACTCTTTTTCCTTCTCTAGAATTTTTTTCCCACTGGGTTTTATTTTAGTTAAGGTTTTAACGAGGCACATTATCTGTTGAATAGACATTCAAGCGGGAGTGTTATAAATAAAATTGTATTTATGGTGAATGTCTATATTTAGAGAGATTCTAGGGTTCATTGCTTGGTGGCCGAGTCACCCTCTCCCTATAAATAGAGGGTTCTATTCTATTGTAATTCATCCCAAATCAATAAGAATTCCATCTCCCTACTTTTCTCTACAATACTCTTCTTCTTCTTTTATTGTTTCATAACAAATAGAACTTTTATCTTTAACAAAATATGTGTATAATATATTAAAATTGTATGTTGAATCTCATAATTTTAAATGTGTTATGTTATTCTTATAAAAATTGTCATTAAAAATAAATGAGAATATTAAAATCTAATTTTTTTTAAATATAGAAACGTAACGGTTTTAAAGCAAATTAAAAGGAAAGTTAAAAATATAAACTAAAACAATTTGAGTTATTTAATTTTCTTGAGCCGAGAGTATATCAGAAATAACATCTTTACTTTTACAAGATAGGGCAAGGTCTGCGTACACATTACCTTGCCCAAAGGCCACTTGCGTTATTATAATGAATTTGTTGTAGTTATTGTTGATTTGAGTAATTTACTCTTATGTATATTACAAATATATTTCATCACAACAGTAATAGTGTTATTTTCTATCTAAATTTGTAACCCGTGTAATAGAATCACATTGTTGTTGCTCGGATATATTCACGAGGAATTTTCAGAAATAATTATTGTTTAGTGGTTATTAACTTCCTATAGCGACCATATACATAATTACTTTCCATAGCTACCTTTCAGTTGTTATGGTTATGTATTCAATGTATTCGAGCTACTGTATTCATGAATACAGTAGCAAAAATTGGCTAAAAATAGGGTAGTCCAACTGTCAGCCACTGTAATCACGTGTATTCATACCATGTATTCATGAATACAACTTAATAATGGGTCTCTCCAGTTGTTTAATAACGGAAAGCTGCTAATTTAATGAGATACACTCCTAATATAACTCACCTAAATCAATTATAACACACAACGTTATCAATTCAATTAATGAGAAGATTTATCAGACTTGCTTTATTGAGTATATTTTATTGGTTGTATTCATTGATTTTTTATTTGTATTGAGAGTATTTTACTGTATTTCACTGTATTGTTGTTTTAAATATAGATGAATACAGTTAGATTGAATGCATAATTAATTGATGAATAACATCAAAATGATAGAACTAACAATGTATTTAAAAATGTTGTTGTATGAAATCAAATACATATAATAACAGAATACAAGCA